AGCACGCGTTCGCTCGCCCCACCCCGAGGGAGGAGTCTCCGCTAGTGCCCGCCTCTCCACGTTCCCACCTCCGGAGGACGAGACCTAGAGGGCGTCTGATTGGTTGGGGAGGGCGGAGTCAAAGCAAGTGGGCTGGACCACTGGGACCTTAGGCGTGCGCGAGGGGAAGTTCAGATTCAATTGAGTACCCGGAGAAACGAACAACAAAATATTGGCTCATTTGTGTACTGGACTCTCTTGTCAGCTTGAAATCGATCACAAGTGTTTTCCAGGGCTGCTATGTATAATAAGAACCAATGTTAAATACCACTACATTCTTGCGAGGATGAGCGGTAACAACAAAACTACATTTCCCAGAAACCCTCGTGGAACGCGGCTCACCGTGCGTAATCACGTAGTCCTTCGCCGCATTCTAACAAAATAATCCCTCCATATTTCTGAAGGTATCGGAAATAATCATTCATTTTCCTCCTCACTGGGACAAGTATTACTGTTGCTTCGGTAGGAGAAGTTAACTATAGGAAAGGTGATTAAGTAATCATGGAAAGGGAGAGAAAATACACCCAATAAAGTGCTGCGGAGGAATCTTTGTCAAGCTGTGAGGTGACGGCGTGCGAAGAATGAAGGCGATTCAGAGGGGCTGAGGGAATTGTCTTCCGAGTGAAGGACTTTCATTAGGCCCCTGCCCACCCCTGTCGTCAGCAGGTCAGTAAGCAGGGCGAGACTGGGATGGCCATAGTCTAGGTGCCTTTCAACCCTTAAAAGATCACCCCTCGATTGCCTTGTTATTGGTTTGCCTCGGTCTAAGGCTGTCTGAATGGGGCGACCCACTTCCGGTTGGGGGGGAGGGGAGGAAGACCGTCACGGGGGAGGGGAGAAAGCTCACTTCCTGTGGGGGGTAGGCTAATGGTTTGGGGGTGTGCACCCTGTTTCCTGAGTGCATGAGGGGCTGGAGAAGGTGGTGGGTGGGTGGTGCCGTTCGCACAGACGGTATCATATCAGCGTTGGAACTGTGTTTTATGTAGGGGTTGTCCACCACGTCTTGCTCACCCCCCGCCTCCAGCTTTAATTTGCGGGTTTTGTCTCCACAAGTACATGGGCCATTACCTTCGGAACTATATTTTCAAAATGCATTCTTACTTCAAAGAATGTACAACCCCTTGTTAAAAGTCTCCTCACCTGCCTACGAGACAGCTTATTTTTCTTGTGTGACTCCTGGGTGCCCACACCGGCTCCTTTACCCAAAGCCAACCTTGACTGGGTGAGGGTCTCCGCCTTGGCATGCCTGGAGAACTCTGGTTCCTCTTTCACGGAGATGGTGTATTAAGAGGATTGAATATGTAAATGATGGGGCGTTTTTCCCCCAAGGGGGAAAGCCACATGATGAAGGAGAGAAATATTTGATGTTCATGTTAGCGAATGCCCTTGGTATCTTTAAACCTGAGGTTTGAGGTTACAGCTTTTCCCCTGGGTCTGAGATTCCCTCCTTGTAGCTTGTGTTGTAGTTGTGAAAATTGGATTCTAGTTCCTAGCCTTCTCTCCCTGTAATTTAGTTAAATTCTTCATCTCTTTAAGATCCATACCTGTCCTTTGTGGTGTAAAAAGGACAAGAGGCTCGGCTCAGAATTTAAAGGTGAAACCTGAATGGGCTCCAAAAGGGCTGAAGATAAATAAGAAAGCGCTTGCTCTCTTTTTTTTGTACTCTTATTTTTATAGGAAATTATATGCAAAGTGGTAATGAGCCCTCATTGTTTATTCTTTAAATTCTGTTGCCAGGGGCCAACGTACACCCACCCTTCACTTAACAAGACGTAAAAGTTCCAGAGACTGGGGGTTCTGTGAAAATAGGCGTTATGTGAAAATGGAGGATGACTACATCATTACATAACTGCCAAACCACATTATCATAACTGCCAAACCACTGAGAATTGAAACCTAACCTTAGCCATCATAACTAGCTAAACTCTCCCTTCTCACCATTATGTGTATTGCTACCAGACTAAAGTTAATGCAAGAGGGTTTTTTCCTATTGTAAATAGCATGTGAAATGTCAAATAATAAGATAGTCGGAAGATGGGAATGGATGCACTGGAGCTTATATTGAGTATGTGTTGAAGAAATCTATTTGAAACTTAAGTGGTGTGAAACTATTTTTAAAATCTTAGAATGAATATATTATATAATTTCTAGAATACATAGATATTCATTCTGTTGAATGAACCTAAAATTGTAATGTCTCTCAACAATTTAAGAGCCAGAATGCCTGTGTGCTTTTTTCCTTAGGAAAGTTAATCTACCCTCAGAATTTGCAATTGGTTTAATTCTAACTTTTAAAAATCCTTTCAAAAAAAAAAAATCCTTTCATTTAGAGTGTATTAAAACATGCTTTAAGCCAAATGTTACAATAAAGAGTAAAAATAAATGCTCTAACCCATAAACATAAAAAGTGATCCATCAATCTCTAAAATCAATAAGTTTAAAAGTTCATAGATTTGTTTCAGTAGTTGGTTGAAAAGGAAAGACAAAGCCTTCATTGGGTTAGGGCATAGAGACAGGGTTCCTTAGAGACTAGACCAACCAAGTATTAGTAAATTAATTACAGAAAGGATGTTCACGAACTTCTGTGACTGTAATGTAGAAGAAAATACATGGTTTTACTTCTGACAAGATTTGAATCTGACAAATAATAGCATTGGGTATTATTGAAATATGGAAGGGTTGTATAAATGAAAAATATTTTTTTAATTGTGTTAAAATATTGATTGAGATATTGCAGTATTGTGTCTTGGAAACTGTCTTTGGAAAGTAAAGGGATTTATTAAATTGATCCTCATAATTTTCCATGGGAGAAATAGTAAGAAAAATTGCTGCAGCTGAGACTAGCAGCTTGAAGAACTGTCTATTCAGGGCAAAGCAATATATAAAGCACATATCTGAAAGATGTTTTGTGATAAGTGGCAGTTATTCATTGGTCCCATCGAAGAAGTAATATTGGAAAAGGTTGTGAAAAATGGAGAGCGAAAGTCTGTGTGGAACTTGTTTTGGTTTTTAAAGTGTTTCTGTCAGAAGTGTTACTGTCTTCCAGTGACTTTTTTCCCATAGAGCTATTCGTTGCAGTTTTCTTTAAGTATTCTAATAGATGCACAGTTTCAAAATTAGAAACTAGAAACATTGTAAGAGATACTCTTGGTATTTCTTTGAGTGAATGAATTTGAAGACTTCCTTTTGTTGCATTCCTTTCCCTGCTGCATGTCAGTTCAGTTCTGTGCTCTCAGAAAACTATTCCGGACAGTGTTACCTTCCACTGTCCTCTTCAGCCTGCTTAGCTTGGGGTAAGACTTAGTCAGTGGTGCTTCGATAACACGCTTCCGGTCCAATCACAGTCGCCCTGAAACCAGCTGCCCTCATTCTGGCTTCAGAACCACCTCAGCAGCTGGGCAGCTAGGATCTCCCTCGTCTCCCTCCCACCCCCATCTTGTTTTCATGTAAACCCCAAATAAAGGACTCCTAGACACTCAAAAAAAAAAGAAAGAAAAGAATTGTCCCTTTTTCCTTCTTCAGCTTACTTAGATTTACATAACCATTTTCTTTTCCAAAAGCAGTCATGGGATACACTGCTCACAGCAGTTTAAAATATTAAAACATTAGGTCAAAATTCTGGATTTTGTCTCACTGAGATGTGATTAGCCACAGACATCTGTATGCTGTACATAATGCAAAGATGCCTTGGTTTACTTGTCTACCTTGCTTGCTAATATTCTGCAATGATTTTCTTGATTATTGTTATTGTGGTGGTTTGGTTTTGTGGTTGTATTCTATGCTGAGTAGTCTATTCCAATTCATTTGGACCCTAAATGGCAGTGTTCTATAGGATTTCCTCGACTAATCTTTATGTTGCCAGGTCTTTTATTCCTTGGCACTAACTTGGTACACTTGAGCAATTTACTTGACATATCTGAACCTGTTCCTAACCCTAAGTGGAGCTATTTCTTTGGTTATGGATTTACATGTATAACCCCTTGCTGGATGACTGGTGCTCTTTCTTTTTTTGCTCCCCAGTCTGTCTGCTGCTTTATTGGCTGTTGGTATTTACCCACATGTCTCTTTGAAGTCTTAACATATTCCCAAGGGAATGAATGCATTGCTAGAGTTAGTGAATTATCCCTCTCCCCTCCCTCCCTTGATCAGCATATTCACTTACCTGTCAAGATTTTGGTTTTTGTTACCTGTGGGAAGGAAAAACCTCTAATTTTCATGAGTAATTTTGAAACTCTGGAAAAATTTACAGAATGAGAAAGTATCGAGGGTGTTAAAGCATCGTTAATGTCATTTGAATTATTACAGAAAGACTTGCAAATCCTTCTTTGGAATAATTGGCCATCATGGCAGTTTTTACCGTTGGTGACTGACCCCTGTGTGTCTGAGTAGAACTGCCCTCCGTAGGTTTTTCAGTGGCTCATTCTCCTCCAGCCCATGTTTTCAAGGCACGCTGAGTGCACTCAAACCCCCGACCAATTGGTAAGCATCGGAGTGTGTTAACTGTTAGCACACACAAACATGCCTATTTAAATACTGTGCCTAATGAACCTCTACAGCAGTGGTTCTCAACCTGTGGGTCGCCATCTCTTTGGGGGTTGAACGGCCACTTCACAGGGTTTGCCTAGACCATCGGAAAACACAAATATTTCACAATATATAATTACATATCATTTTGTGATTACTCACTATGCTTTGATTACCATATATACTCGTGTATAAGCCGAGTTTTTTCAGCACATTTAAAAAAAATACTTTTATTGGGGGCTCTTACATCTCATCACAATCCATACATTCCTCCAATTGTCAAGTACATTTGCACATATGCCGCCATCATTTTCAAAGCTTTCTCTTCCCACTTAGCCCCTTACATCAACTCCCCATTTCTTCCCCTTCCCTCTCCTGCCCTCCTTTGGGGTCAATGCTGTTGTGTATTAATTAAACTCCTGTTACTAATGAGAACTGACTCTTGCCCTCAATTTAATTGGAAACAAGTAAATTGTGACTAACGTGTAGATTGTGAAGACTTGCAGGTATGTCTGAATGGAAATGGGGTAGGGAGGTCAGTGTAGAAGTGTCTGCATTGTAAGAGATAGCTATCCCCTGCTGTGGACTCAGAAACAAAATCGATCTGAGTAGTGTGTTCACCCAAACCCATGCTATTCACAATTGCGCCCCAAATGGAAACTAACCTAAATGACCAGCAATTGATGACCAGCAATGGTAAACAGTATCATACAGCCATCCAATGCTATAAGAAGGAAATGCTACACACAGGTGAACCTGGAAAACATTATCCTCAATGAAAGAAACCAGATACAAAATGCTATATATTTGATGAATCCACATTTGTACATTTGTTGCCATCATCCTTTTCAAAACATTTTCTTTCTACTTGAGTCCTTGGTATCAGCTCCTCAATATTTTCCTCCCCAACCCTCCTACCCTCACGAAATCTTGATAAATTATAAATGATTATTATTTTCATATCTTACACCGTACACTGTCTCCCTTCACCCATGTTTCTATTGTTCGTCACCCTGGGGTGGGGGCTGTATGTTGATCATTGTAGTCGGTTCCCTCTTTCTTCCCCCACCTTCCCCTTACCCTCCTGGCATCGCTGTTCTCATTATTGGCCCTGAGGGGTTTATGTGTCCTGGATTTCCTGT